AGAGAACTGGGCCAAATGCTTGCACAGGTAGTCTTTTCCACAGTTCCTTCAGTGGCAGGAAGTGGATTAGGAAAACACAGCTGGTAACAAATGGCTTAGAGACTGGTGCCATTGGATGAGCTTTGGGTTTTTTGATCATGGAGATGTTTACATGGCACCGGGTCTGCTAACAAAAAATAGTGTAGAACTTTGAACATGGAGAAGAAGGATTCTTGGCTGCAAGTTAGCGGGGCTCGTTGAGAGGGCTTTAAACTAGGTTTGAAGTGGGTAGGGGATAAAACCAGGTCCATTGGAAATGAGCCTCGGGACAACAAGAGGACAAGAGTTACCAGGGCTCATCCAGAGAGCTTTAAACCAGATTCAAAGGGGGATGGAGATACAACTGGGCTTGCTAGAGAGGTGCCTAGGTGTTGTGGCTCAGCACTTGTGGGACAGCATGCTAGTATTTTTCTGTCTCTGAAATGTTTGTGGCACTAATGCACACAGCATGGGGAATAAACAGGAAGAACTAGAGATTTGCAATCAGTGAGACATGGTGGTATAGCTCACATGACTGGAATGTTGTCATGGATGGTTACATCCCTTTTAGGAAAGATAGGCCAGCAAGGCAAGGTAGTGGAATTGCTCTTCATGTGAGAGAGCAACTGGAATGTTTTGCAGCACTGACAGTGTAGCCTGCTGTATTAAGGGATTTTTAAGCAGGTGTTTTTTTGTGAATTCCCTTGGGTATAAAAATGGGTTTCTGATTTTCTGGATCAATTTTCTGACCTCTGGGTTTCATACAAGAGGGAACTTTGCATTTTCTGCTTTTCGTTGACTCCAGCACTGTGCAGGAACCTACTCTGAATTTCCCCCTGAAGGTTTTGACAGGTGTTTCACACAGGGATCCCAACAGCAGTAGGCACCAAAGTGCTTGGATTGGGTAAGATAGCAGTCAGTGCCTTTGTTCATAAGTAATAGCAAGTAAGAAACTGAGAATAACAGGAGACGAGGAAGGGCATTATTCTTTCTTTTTTTTTGTAAGTGAAAGATTTCTGCATCTGAAAGATGCTATCTTGCTCTTGCTTTCAAGATAGCATCAAAATAATTTGACCTTCCGGACTTCTGATAATGAATGTTAATGCATGAAGACTTGTGGCTTGGTCATTGTTAGGAAGGAAAGAGGGAGATTTTTCCAGATACCGATGATCATTGTAATAGCTGTGAACGATTTTCTAGTTTTAAAATCCCATTACACTGAGGTCATGCAACAGGGGGAGGAAACAATCTCTGTTACATAAAACTTACTGTCCAGAGGCAAGACAGGTATGCAAACACCAGGAAATAGCTGAATAGTGTTGGCCGATGTGCTAGTGTTCAGCTCTTCACGTGTTTTTAGAAAGGCATTGTAGTAAGGGGAAATTTAGAAGATGCTTTACATATGTTTACAGTAAGTTCTTTCCCAGTACAGGGAGGTGCACTTGGAGGAGGTTTGAAGATGATTATTTCAGGGCAATGGGAAGTGGAGGTCTTAAACCCCTTTTGCAGCATCAATAAGGTGTTGTTCAGGAAACAAAACTGCCCACCATTTATGTTTTGATTTTCTTGCAATGTAAGTAGGAGTGTTTTGCAAATACCAGGGAAATGGTTTTCATGCTCTCTCTGAAACAAAGTAAGCAGACATACAGGGCAGATTTTTGAGTGCTCAGTAACTGTACAGTTTGAGATGCTTAAGACTTAGATGTATTATTTTTGTTGACTTCTTAGCTTTGTGTCAACACTTAGGGTACTTGTCTCTCAGAGCTTTAATTGACTGGATTTATGAATTGCCAATGTTCCAAATTCTGATATGCAGAAAATTAAGATGATGCTTACTCTGTCCTGTAAAAGAAGTAGTGCAGTAGCTTAAAACTTTGTTATACATTAATTTAAAGCATTTTACTTGAATTGTCACAGTCTCTGGGCGGGAGTTCTTGTGTAATTTTACAGGAACACTGTTGGTGATTAGTGTAATTTGTTAGAAAATAGTTCATGCTGTTGAGGTAATAGAGCATTTATTAATTACCAGATTACTCTTGCCTTTTTGGCAATTCCAAATCTTGCTTATGACTCACTTTGCAAGTTTTGCCATCACAGAGGTAGTGGTCCTGTCATGGTTTGGGTCTAACACAACAAAGAAATAGTCCCATGGCCGTTCACTCAGCTCCCCTCCCCCCCCCCCCCACACACACACTCTGGGATGAGGAGGATAAAGCTCTTGGGTTGAGACAAAGGACAAAGAGGGTTCTTCACCGATTAAGGTCCTGAGCAAAACAGACTCAGCTTGGGGAAAAAATAATAATTTAATTTCCCACTGATCAAATACACACAGGACACAGACAACAAAAAGAGCACTGCTTACATACTTTATTCCCACCCCTCCCTTCTTCACCGGCCCAAATTGCTGTGTTCCATGTTTTTCTCCCTCCTTCCCCCTAGTCCAGGGGGATGGGGATGGGTTTTAGAGTCAGTTCACAGGCTGGTGGTTCTTGCTGTGCCATCCTCCTCAGGAAGAAGGATTCCTGACAGTCCTCCCCTGCTTCCCCACAGGGCCCCTCCCATAGGAGAGGGTCCTCCATGAACCTCTCCTTCATGAGTCCTTCCCATGACGTCTGGAGCAAGCTGCTCTAGCACGGGCTTCTCACAGAGACACGAGCCAGGGTCTTCCAAAGCTGCATAATCAGAGTCCACTGGCAGCAAATCAGAGTCCACTGGCCACAAAATCCAAGTCCACTGGCCAAGTTCACCCCTCCTGACACCTTCAGGTGTCACGTTCCTCCATGAGTGCAGGGGGACAGCTGCCATCTCACCGTAGGTTGCTGGGAAGCTTCTGCTTGGGCACCTTCTTCCCCTTCTTTCCACTGGCACCCCTCTCCCTCCCCTCTCCCTTTTTCTTTCAGTGCTTCTTTGCCCAGGTCTTATCTCATGTCTTCAGTATGTTAATTCCAGAAGCACATCTGTTGTCCCTCTAATGGCTTCTTGATTGGGTTTGGAGCAGGGGGAGCTTCTCAGCTTCTGTGGCCCTCCCCCGCTACCAAAAAACCCACCAAGCCAAACCAGCACAGGTCCAAAGGCAAGTTTCTTTCACTGATTCAAAATAGTATTTTTTCAACATAGAGTGGAGTAGTAGACAGGCAGACAAAAATAGATACTCTGATCGTGTGATTAAAGACATAATATATATGTCCAAGGAAAAAGAAATTTAAAGTATATAGCCAAGTGTAATTTTAGTATTTCACACATTCTGTAATTTTAGCAACACATTTGGAAGGTGTCATATTTTCAAGTATTTGTATGTTTTAGCAACTTGGCAATAATTAAATATCTGGATTCTCTCTGCTGAATCACTTGCTTGGCTACTGTGCAACACTTTTCCTTTTCAAATCATGTTATCTGGGAATCTGTACACTAAAGTCTATGAAAAGCAGTACTCTTATGCATGGATACAACCGGTCACGGGGAAAAAGACTCAGTATACTGATAAGCTCTATAGAATTTATTGATAGGTAGATAGTTCTTTAGGAGGGACACTCACATTTTTTGTTAAACAAAGAGCTCATGTAATTTAGGAAAGAAAAAAATATGCAGGAAAGTCATATTACTGCAAAAAAGGACATCTCGTGCTACTCTTGATTTGTCCAATTATAGTATTGTTCCTTTGCAGGAAAAAGTACTATCATTGTAAGGAAAAGGACATACCTATGAGTATCAATTCTGTTAAATTATTAAGCAGCAATATGTTTTTCATTACTTTATCTCTCATCTCTGTTTAAGGTTAACTGTGGACACTTGAAAAAGATAACTATCTGCTTGAAAAAGGTGATAAATTCTTAGGCAATTACTTTGTTCCATAGATCTGTTGCTGGGATTTTGTCTTTTTGAACATATGTAAAATGATATAAATGTGAGTTATTAAATAAGTTAGCTGATCAAATTTATTTTTTCCATGTTAGCAAGGGAAAATTGCATGTGTCCATTGCCTTTTGGCCCCGGGGAAGGCACAGCAGAACCAACAAGGAAGGAGAAAGTGTAGCCAGCAGTTGGTGTAGCCAGCTAAGTGCATTTGGCTGCTGACTGAGGCTACTTGGAAAATCCTCCTGCACATTGCTGGAAAACAAACTGCTTTCTTTCTGGCTGTCTTCCGGAGTTGTCACTTTAGTGTCCCCATCTTCCTTGATTAGTGAGCCCTGTTAGAAACTGGCTCTGAAAAGCCTTTGTTCAGTTTTCTTGTGAGAGATTCTTTTTCCCAGAGGTTCAATCCATAATTTTACAAGGTTTAGCCAAGCTACTTTTCAAATGCCTTGTGTGTTCTCTGTGTACAGTTGTAAGCATGTGCTGTGACACTGAGTTGGTAAAGAAATTAAATTAGGGTATGTATGTGCAGTGCAGGTTGATGCATACGGTGTGTCACCTTCAGAATGAAGATGTAAAATACCATTTTAATGTATTAGATGTTTTTTTTCTATTTAGTGTTTTCTTTCCAGAATAAGTTTAATGTGGTTAAACAGTGACCTCAGGGTACATCTGTACGTAATATCAAACCTATGTTATACTATAGGTTGTGCCTTTTGAGTTAAAAAAGTAAATAAAATTGAGCCAATAGCAGTTTTTACTGTTAAATGGGTATTGCAGTGTACAGAGAACTATTAACAGACTTCAGTTTACAGATTTCAGACTGTATTTGATAAATCTGAAATATTTGCTGTTAACTTTCTAAAATGAAGTGAGAGGGTAAAAAGGCTTTTCTTGCAATCTACATTGCTCTTCCTCATACCACATCATAGCCCACGGAAAGCACACTTGCAGTCTGCCTCCGCCTGAAATCTGTTGCACATCCGTACTGTGTGTTGTATGGTTCCTGTTGTATAATAATTATATTTAGTAATAATTAGATAATAATATATAATAACACAATAATTATATTTAATTTTTTATGTACATGTACACTAAGATAAAATGGTGCTTTTTACCCTCTCCTACAGCCAATACCAAAGCCCGCAGTAATGAATTTGCTGAAAAGAACGGACTTCAAAAATACGAGTACGTCCTGCATCCGCGAACTACTGGATTCACTTTTGTTGTTGAGCATCTAAGGGAAGGTAATCCAGCTCTGTATTGATAATATTCTTTTTTTCCTTTAAGATAACAAGTCTCATACAAGCTATAGAAGCCGATGTTCACAAAACTCCTGGTAGTAAACTCAGAAAAACTTTATATATCCTGATCACAAAAAAAAGCCCTTGTTTGCACCCCTTCTTCAAATAATTGTAACATGGAGACATTTGAGAGAGTTGGTAACAAATACCAGTATTGTCAGGAAATAAGCAGTGAGTGAAAGCAACTTTTTTTTTTTTTTTTTAAAGAAGACTGCTTGTTTGTCAGTCTTTCTCAAAAAAATAGTGAAAAAGATCCCAATAAAGTTCAGCCTTACTGTCTGTACCAGTCCTTAACCCCAGCTGGGTGGTTGACACCAAACACACAGATGTGTATAACCCTGTCCTCTCTGAAAAGCTTCTGGTTGTGTGAGAGCTGAGACAAGGAGTTGCTGTATTAAATGGACAAAGGGTATGCACAGCAGCATGTAGCTGCAGCAAGTCTGCTGCCCAATGCTGTCAGCATTTCCAGTTGATGGTGACTTGAAAAATCTGTGTAAAATAGGACTTGTGCTGTTTGTAAGAGCAGTGGGTAGGAGAATTCATGGTATTTGATTTTTACCCAGAAGTGCCCTTCCATCCCTGTCTTAACCTGGGCATAGAGATCAGGTCCCTATTGCCAGGAGAAGAGAGAATAAAGATGTGATTGTTTGTTGCATCAAGGTATATGTGGGTTACTTTGGGAATGGGCATTTTGATAAGATTTGAGGCCATAATGGTGTAATGTTTAAATGATAGCAATGTGGTAGCAATTAAAGTAGATATGATTGAATATGCACAGTATGTATCAATGTATGGTTGAAGAAAACAAAAATGTACGGTAGCTACGAAGTGACTTATATATAGGCTAATTCTTCAGGGAAGAGTGATTTTAGATCTCCAACATGTGCTGGTTATTTTTACTGTTTGGGATTATTAAAAAGAGTAAGGGCCTGCTGGTAGGTTTTTTTTCCTTTCTGGATTCCTTGCCTGGATTTTAAGAGCAGAGCTGGCTTGCATGTTTTGCCTGATACTTTTCCTACTAAGCAGATACACTAAAATAATGGTTAACACTGTTTTCTCCTTTTGGACAATCCTAACTGGCCCATGGATCTATTTGACACTGTTTTTATTGGGCATTCAGTGCTGGACATCTTAGATTTTTAGTCTGTCCTGAATGTTTATTATTCAGTTTGCTGTAGGAGAAAAATTACCACACACTCAATTTTAAAAGCTTCTTTTAATTAAATCTTTTCAGCACTAGGTTAACCTAGTGCGTAATAGTATTTTGTGTGTTGGTAGAAAATTCATAACAAATTAATTAATTTAAAAAAAAGCAAACAAAGACCTTGTTCAAAACCACACTTTCATCACTAGGCATGTCTGTGAAATTCAGCAATGCAGAAAATTGGGTGCAGGCTGCTGTGTTCTATTGAGAATGCTGACAGTTGTCTCTGAAATCTGGAACATGGGAAAGGACAACTTGACTTTTTCCAGAATCATGTTAACCGTTGATTATTACCATATCATACAAACATCTGCATGTGTTGGCTTTGATGTCCTTCTCAGAAAGAGCTCCAGCTTTCTGTTAAGATATTTTCTGGCCTTTGGTACATGTTGAAATTTCTGTTATTCTCTCTTCTTTCATGTCTTACTGGAGCAGTATTCTGCACTACTTGCCCCACCTCGGTGACAAACAGCCCATCGTTTCAGTCCTCCTGGGGAAGGACTTGGTTTTTCCAGACCACTCTTTTCTCTCAGCCCAAATCCTTTCTTTTTTCCATCCTCCACAGCTTTTGAGAAGGGAGCACAACCTTTCACTGGGGGTGAATTCATGTAAGAATCCATGTAAGAATCGTTAACACCTATAGTGTTTGCACATTGATGCATTGTTTGTGTCACCCACACATCAGAAATACTTCAGAATTTAAGTTCTTGAGCCTATCAAGATCCATCTACTAAAACAGTCTTGTTACGCTGTCTTACATATGAGTCATGGCTTGTGACAAGCAGATATACCATATGGCAGATGATTTTCCATTTACCTCCTCACAGTTTACTAATGCTTGCTATGGTAACCATATTAAAAAGTTATTATTTGCCAGCAGTTACCCCACAGTGGTATTAGAGGTTTCCACTGTTTTCCCTTAACTCAGAATACATAGTATCTGTGGTAACGATGTGGTAATGTTTGGCACATATGGAGACTTTGTTAATTGCTTCATCTGGAGGCCTTGAACAATGTTAGATCATCACACTGCATACAGAGAAATGAAGTTTGGCCACAGATGCTACTAGAATTATTTGATTCAGAATTGAAAAGATGTTCCTCTTTTTTTTTTTTTTTTATTTCCTTTCTTCTTCTTCTTTCAATCTAATGTTCATCTCCCCTTCAAGGTATTTTTAAAAAAGGTTTTTCAGGTTGTTTATGCCCTTTGGCTAAGTAGTAGACCTAGCCGTGTATGTAATAAGGTGTGTCTGCAGGTCTAGACTTGGTCAGCATTTCTCTTGGTGTGCATTTTGGAAAGTCATTTGTGTGATTGGAATATTTATTTCATTATTTTTTTTCCTATAGTGTCACTCACAGAAGCACAGTAAGCTTAGCACAAGGGCTTACAATACCATTTATGCTCCCCTGAGCCTGGACAAAACACCAAAATGTCCACTGTGTGGGCTTGTTCACCACATCCTCATGATAGCCTTGATACTGATAAAATAAACAATGCTGTAAGAATTGTTAAGGGGATTGTGGTTTTTGTGTCAGAGTAATGAGCTTTGAGATTGTTTTTAAAGACTTATGGCTGCAGGACAGACAATAGATGACTCTCAAAGTTCAAGTTTATTAATTGCTTCTTGCCCTTGTCAAGCAGTCATCCATGATGTTGCAGGTGATGTTGGTTGGATTGATAGCATATTGAATTACTACTGAAGACGAATATTATTGATATGTATTTATTTCACATAGTGTTACCAGATGCTCTACACAGCATACCCTTTTCTTGGCTCTGTTTATTAGTAAGGCTGAAAATTGTTTCAAGCAGTCTTGAGTAGAGAGAAGCCTAAACATACTTGTCAAAGGACATAATACTGCTTTAGTTTCAGTTCAGAAATTGTTTCCTGATGTGTTTTACTAGAAAAGCAGCAGCATCTGCAGGCTGACAAAAATAATCTTAAATCAGACTCTCATAGTAGAGAAGATTATCAGTCATATTTGTTGGATTTTCCGCTTTTCCACTTTTTGCAGATTCTAGCTGTTTTCGTTTCCAGCCGCATTAAAATTGCTGCAGATGTATTTTGTATATTCCTGATACCACTTTTCTGTATGAGTATTTGCTGGCAGGGGAGAAGGTCTGTGGAGTATTATTTCAGTTACTGGAAATATTTGAATCCTCAAGCTGTTCAGATATAGCCCCATAATCTGTAAGATAGTAATAAAACTTCCAATCTGCTCTACTTTGAAGATTTTATGCTTATTTATCATTAAACCTTAAGTAGTTTTTTTTCATTCCTTTCTGGCTGTTGCAGCTTCAGCTTTTATTCCTGTTGCCCTCCTCCCAATCCCCTGCCATTATTTTTAGGGTATACAAAAATTAGCCCTGCATCATACTTTTCCAAACTGACTCAGATTGCTGAGATTTACAATAATTGGCAAGGCTCTGGTCTAGAGATGTGGAGAGTCCTGGATGTTGCTATGGTACTGATACTGAAAACCAAAAAACGTAAGAGGGCAGAGGAGCTTGGGCAAATTTGTATTAGAGTATAAATACTTTTTAAAATAAATTTTTATCAAAGCATAAACTTCAGCATAATTTCAACTCTTCACCTCATTCATCACTTTATATGTAACCTGAAATACTGCTGTCCTTGGAACTTACTTTGTCAACCTTTACCTGAACTGTAGCATTCTGGAGGGCAGGAAATAAAGAATTTGCTCTCAGTGTTCTCACCAAACATTGGTAGATATAGGAAGGGTTTCCCTTTACTGCTTATGTGCCATGTCAGTTATTTGAAGTGTAGTACATTGTAAAACAAATATTATCATGAAGTATATTACAGTTACAGATACAAGGTTTGAATCTTTCTTTGGAAGGGCAACCAGTCAAGAATCAGAGAACTGTGTTTAACATGCATACACTGTGGTAGACTCTCTGCTCAGTCCAGTTTCATAGTGTTAAAAGCTAATGCCTGTATCTTAAAAGAAGTATCTCTGAAATGCATGTCATCTATATTTAGACACATGCAAAATTGTGATTTTGTTTGCATTGGTAGTCATTGTTGACCTCGCAGTATAACAATAGAAGAGGCGATTATAAAACAGTTCCAGAAATGGGCACCTGAGCAACCTTCTGGCTGGCTTGTTCCAATCACTGGTCCTTCACCACTACTCTAAGAGGAGCCAGCCTGTCTTTATGGTTTCTGGCATTTCACAGACAATAAGGATGTCTATTAGGAGAAAAGCATAACACGCATAATAAATAAAAAGAAGAGAGACATTTTAAAAAATGGTTCAGACACTTCGGAATTTGTGTTGCCTGGATGTTGCTATGGGTACTAAATGTTGAAAAGCAAAACATGCAGAGGGCGGACCTTAGGAACATAAAGTCTCATTTAAAATCCTGTAATAGTTAGTGTTCTTTAAATCTGCTTAGATGCTTTTAAACTTTGTCTCTCAAAAGGATTCTTTGCCTAAGTGCTCTCCAGGTTCATCCAGTCAGCAGCACTGCTGTGATTTAACCAGTCCTACTTCTGCCTTTACTTGTCCAAAGAAGCATTCCTTCCAAAAGACCAAAAAGCTCCCTGGCTTCCTCTATCAGCTCTTAACTTTGCTGCTTTTATAGCATGGATCAAAGAGTTAAATGAAACATGTGCTTTGCAGTTACATTGCTCCTTCTTTCCTTCCTATTCTTCACACACTGTCTGCTAGAATTGTGTCAGGTATTTTGTTTTTGTATGTCTGAAACAACCAT